AGATATCAGAAAAAGACAATAGTCGCTTTATTTGCTACACATTTAATTTTTATTAAGATTTGACTTCTTTTATAAAGAAAATAATCATTTTATTATGAAATCTTTATTAAAAAGTTTTGACATTTTTACCCTGATCCGTGCGCACATCGGCGACCTTTAATGACCGCAGTTTTTACAAAAATATTAACTTCAAACGATAAAAGCCAAACTATTCTGACTTGGATTTTAATAATTAATATTTTGGTATATAGTAAGTATATCTTGAACCATTCTTTTTGACAAAAAAGCCATTGTCCACGAACTTTTTGGACAACCCTCGTATTTAGCGCTGATGGCAATCATAAATAATCTCCTGTCAATAAATACAAAATATTATTTACAAATTTATATCATAGGATTGCAATTTACATTTCCTTCATGTTTTTATAAATGGATATGTTCGTTTGTGATCATGTTCCTGTTGTCTTCTGAGAAATCGTTGTTCACATTTTACAAATACGCCCTACCTTTTCACATTTATAACATCAATGGAGGCGAAAAGATTTTTCGCTTGTACACTTACCCTTGATAACAAAAAAAAAATATAAATGGTTATCATTTGTGTCTCTGTGATCAAACCGGTTTTTGTTTGGTGTGTAAGAAGTTTACTCTCTGTAAGTAGACGGCGCTAACAAGATAACCAAATGCAAATGCCAGTAGTTTACAGTGGTTTATAAATTTTCTTATGAAATTTTTGTGATAGTTCTACAGGAAAGTTCAAAGAAAATACACGATCAACAGTGCTGTGGTTCTAACGAGATCTTGCCTCATTTTCTCTGATTTAACCTAAAATTATCTGCATATCTATCTAATTATTTACATTTATATTATTTTCATTAATTACAAATGTAAATGATTTACACACTGAATTGTCAACGGATTTTTCCGTTATTTCCCGATCATGACAAGGAGCACACGGCGGGTGTGCCCTGTCGGCAGGGGATGCTCACTCCTCCATGGCACCTGATCCCACATCTGATGTTTGGAGGTCCGTGTTTGCTCTGCTTCTATTTTGTATTGTTTAATGGACTTTTGAGCTTGAATACTGTTCGTTATCTCCATATATTTCTTTACCAAGACAACTTACAGGAGTAATTGGTCTTAGATTTTGCCTCCTTACTATCACCGTTATTTTTATACACCGGTACAATATTTCCTTAATTATAATTCTGGCACATATCCAGTATAAAAAATCAAGTTAAACAATTCAATATTAAGCAGCACTATGGTATGTACAGAAGAATTTACATAAACATTATACAATGATTCTTCCCAATGTGCCTTTTTATAGCTTAGTACTATTAAAACATGAGTTAAAATATCCTAACAAATCATTAATACTTGGTGTACAATCTTTCCACCCTAGTTGATAATTTTCCAATATTCTTTTGCGTTCTTAGTTCTGGGAAGGTTGGACCTGTAAACCGGTTAACCACACCAACTGCATGACCTGCTCATGGCAGTTAGGCGTCCTAAGTCCGTGATTGTAGTGTAATCGAGCGTTGTTGTTGTGTCTTGCTTGTAAGTTTCCAATCATTGGTTTATTTTGGCACGGGAATGGTGGACATTGTCGTATGGCATGGTCAAATCTCTTTTTATATTTTTTTTTTTATCAGTTGAGGATCATGGCAGTCTATCTGCAGTGTTGCACGAGCAATTTCCGTGAATTGCGAAGCAGCTTTAGGAAGATTTGCACTACATATACTGCAGTTATACCCTAATCAACACACAAAATAGATCGTAATTCCTTATATTTACATTTACGTCTCATAAAGTCACACCGTGAAAGACACGCGACGTACTTGCATTTATTGGGTCATGAACGTCTCAAATACGACTCGGTGCAACGTTACACATACGGTTTAACGATGGGAAAACATAAGCAATGTAAATATTTTCTCTTTTATGTTAACTCTTTTCTGCTTTACAAAGAAAGGGAAGATCTGACGATGCCTTTACAGAACCATTTAATGTGTTTTTATGCATTATTTCCTTTATATACGAATCTTTCATAGAACCCCCCTCCACCCTTCCCTACTGGCACCAAATTTCCTGACTTCAATCTTTCATAAAATCTTGTTCCTAAAATTATTATTTTCTATTTTTTCTTTGAATTCTTTGTTTTTCATTTTCTTAATATCAAACTATCTTTTTGCACAATCATTTACAATATAACGTTCTTTAATTATTATTTCATTAATAAATGAACCATCATTTCTACACCTTTTGTTTCACTCTTTCAATCAAAATTTGTTTATTGTTTTTTCATGGTTTTTAGTAGAATTTATAAAAGAAAGTCTTAACTATCGTCAACTCATTTAAGATTGGGTCAATATCCGATTGATTTCTTATAGCTTTATTTAATTGTTATATATATATATATATATATATATATATATATATATATATATATATATATATATATATATATATATATATATATATATATATATATATATATATATATATATATATATATAATTTATTTAATAATTTATTTAATAATTATTTAATAAGAATAATCTTGTTTCTTTCTAATCATCATGTAAATGTTGAATTTTTTTTTTTTTTTTTTTTTTTTTATGTTTTAATATCTAAATTTTGTACCACTCTTCGTAGGTCTATTCAGCTATGAAACAGACATGTTTTATATTTCAATATTTGTCGTTTAATCAATAATAAAGAAAAAAGAATGTGTGTTTGTGTCATTAATTAAGTTCTCTCTTGTTGGAAGAGATAATTACCATCCAAATCACGGCTAAAAAAATATTCAGCTAGCTTTAGAAAAGAAAAAAAAATGAATTTGATGATTATTTTAACATCTAAACAGATTTTTATGAACTTTTTCAGACACAAAATTTAAAAAAAAAAAAATATATGCTATCAAAACAAATCAACTCCTCTAAAAAGGTATTTATTCCTTGATTTAGAAGACAAAGTCAATGGAGATATATTATTATTTTAATTAAAAATGTTCAGCTAGCTTTAGAAAAGAAAAAAAAAATGAATTTGATGATTATTTTAACATTTAAACAGATTTTTATGAATTATTTTTTTTTTAATTTTGTGGCTGAAAAAAGTTATGTTTTGTACAAATATTATTTACGAAGTAAAAATGTTCAACATTTATAGCAATTTAGGATGTTGAAGTTACGTTCAAAGGAAATATTTAATTTGAGGGGTCACTGTTGCGACTCATTTTACTCTATTAAAATACTTTTTAATCAAATATCATAAGCCATGCAATTTGTGTGCATATTTTTTTTTTATGTATAGCATATTATTTTTTGTATTGTTTGTGCAGAGGTTGAGCTTATATACAAATGGATGATGTTCTGTATATTCATTGACAAGGATTATAAAAATTTTCAAGAAAATTTAAAATGTAATTTATAATTTGATTAATTACTTTTGTAAAGTAATTGTAATTTAATTAATTACACGTCTTGGAAAGCCCGTGATTTAATTGTATTTTAATTGAAGAAAAAGTCAAAGTCATTGTAATTTAATTAATTACTTTTGAAAGTAATTGACACCATCCCTGATTCAAGGCTAAAAGGAGGAGAGGTTGCTACTTATTTTATAATCAATAATACTTTACTAACATTGCGTTTGTGACATCTTTCCTGTCTACTAGTTTTTGATTGGGGGATTGGTGCACCGCAATAAAAAAAAAATCATTTTTTAAAGAAATCCTCACTCTTTTTTAGATATTACATAACTTCAAATTATTTACAAATTTTGAAATGTTCGTTCACTTGATTGCACTGCTTTCACGGTAAAGTGGGAAGGCTGGGCGCAATATGAGGTCGGTGAAGAGAGACACACTGAATCGCCACTGGCATGGGGTCTCTCGCCAGCCAGCAGAGAGAGTCGTTGCCATATGGTGCATATGATGACTGGGCGGTGATGGCCTGGAAAACCAGACCACAGTCTCGAGGGTTAAGGTACTGAGAGACAGACACGGGAGAGGCTTCCCGCAACGGCGGGGAGCTGAACTCCCGACCTCCATTGTCGGTCCAACGGCGGTGGAGGGATGGCACGCTTTAGCGTGTGCTACCTAAGGGACTTTGTCTATTTTCTTGAATAAGCAATGCTACGTAAGGGACTTTTTTAACGATGTTTGCGCCTCTGACGCCGGTCAGCCGATGGTAGAGGGGTTTTTTTCGAAGTTCTTTTCTCTCTCTCTTAAAACTAATCGCCTCTGGCACCAGTCCACTGGTGTCGGGGGCTTTCATTTTTTTTTCTTTTCTAATCTTAACCCCAACCCCCGAAAGAGTTAGCGTTAAGTGTAACGTAGACCGGTTAACCACATCAACTGCATGACCTGTTCATGGCAGTTGGCCTTTCTAAGTCGGCGCCGTGATTGTAGTGTAATTAAGATTTTTGTGGTGTCTTGTTTGTAAGTTTCCACTTGTTAGTTCATTTTGGCAAATACATAGTGGGCGTTGTTGTGTGGCATGCATAGATTTCCTCTTTCTTTGATTATTGTTTATCCATTGAAACAATCTTTTCATTCTTTTTTTTACTATCAATTTGTATTTTTTGCTTTGTAGCTTGATCATGAAGATTGCCTTGGTGTTATTAGTCGTTGCATCTTGTACTGTACGATTATCTGTTGGTGATTCAACAATGGATATGATCAATAAGGGCATAGAAGCTGGAAATAAAATAGCACAGTTGCTGGCAGATCAAAAAATTGAAGATTTTGGAGCATCTTTGGGAAAAATTGCTGGGAAGGTGTCGAAATATTTAGAGGCTTTTGCACCCGTATTAGGACTTTTTCAACTGCTACTTCCTGATGATAAATATAATGAGATTGAAGAAGGATTCGCAAGGATGGATGCAAAATTCGATCAAGTATTTAATAGAATTGACGACTTGGGAGACGAACAACAGAAGATATCACTAAAAACACAATTTGGAGCGTATGAAAGAAAAATAACGCTGTTTTCCAAAAGACTTGACGATTACTTAAAGTCAGTGGGAAAATCAGAAAACATATTCTTGGAGACTTATGAAAATAAAACGTTTGACGAAAACGTAATGCAATTGTATATGGCTATGATGAAAACTCACTCAGGTCCTCTTAGTGATTCGATTCCAGATCTAGTACGAGATTTTACGAACGAGAATCGTAAAGATACAGAGATGGTTATGAAGAGAATACTTCATTTGATAATTCAGGGAGCCGCAATCGAAATGGCCTATTACAGCCTCACAGGTGACAAAGAAAGATACAATACAACAAAGCACGATTGGGAAGAAAGAATTTCCAAGCTGATAGAACATATCAGGGAAATAGATGAGGATATGCGCTTCAACTACATGGGGCAAGTAGAAAAGGACACTTCAGTTTTGCTAGCAAAAATGTATGGAAGATCAAATAGAGACTTTGCTGACGCATTATACAAATTTCTCTCGCAGAAATATGAATGGCGTGAATGGGTAGTCGTTGTGTTTAACGACGTTCCGGATAACATAATTAAATTGGCTAAGAATTCGTTCCAAATAACACTTCATGGGAAACACGTCATCGTGGCAAGCTCCGCTAAGGACCGAAAAGCAGACATAAGTCATACGAGATACATGTTATCAAAGATTCCTAGTGGATACTACTTATATCCAACTATGAACATGTTTAGCGAGTTACGATGGCGAAACTATGATGTCACTGATCTGTACAATAGGATTCCAAGAAGTCTCTTAAGTTTTGGATCTGAATATACCGTAGGTGTAGTAACGAAAGATGAGTCTGATCTTGTCGTCAGAGGCCCCGACGATAGGTACGCCATAGTTTCTAAAGGAAGAGATAGACCGTGGCCCTTTCCTGTCGTAAAGTCTTGGATCTTCGCTTTATTCACAGATAAAGAAATTAGACCCGATCCAAAAGGAGATGCAATCGAGGCTCAAGAAGGGGAGAAGGATGATTGACAAAAAACTTCCGGGCTCTTCCGGAAATAACAGTAATTAAATGAAAAAGTAAAATTACCCACTCAACTATATGCATATATGACTAGGATTACAAATAATGGCAAAAAACTTCCGGGCTCTTCCGGAAATAAAACAAAAATAAAATAAGTAAAATTACCAGTCTAGTTATTTCATTGACCATCTAAGAGCATATACTGTTGGCAACAAAATGTTTCTCGTTTCCAACAGGCATTTTAACGTTGATTCAACGTTGTTACAATGTCACCACGTAAAGTTTAACTGGCATGGAATTTTAATAAGAAAATGAAAGTTTAGACGTAATTTTTGAACATTGAAACTACGTCGATGTCTCAACGTCGAAGTCTCAACGTTGAAACACTGTCAGCTTGCAACGTGAAGTTTAGTTGGAAAATGAAAGATGTTAATGTTGATTCCTCGGCGTTGAAACGTCGTCGATTTGTCAACGTTGAATGGCGTTGCATTTTAGAAAGAGCAAGGTTTATGTTCATTCCATAATCCATTCATATATTTTGATGTAATATAAAGTTTAATCAGTCTGTTGCGTTCCTCGGAAAGTATACATCACTGTACATAAGCCATTGTTGTGAGACTTTTTTACATTTATTGTCCTGTTGTGAGTAAGAAATGGAATGTTTATACAACCTAAAATTATCATGCCTCTGGAGGGCGCTGCCCGAGGGGGGGGGGGGGGCATGATATTTCTGGGTTGTACAATTTCTCACATCTCCCAAACTACTGGTAAAAAAATTGTTCTTAACATCGAAAAGAAAATCAAAACTTCACGAGAGTTATTATTGTATTATCAGAAGTCTGTAATGAGTCTGTAAAGAGTATATAAGTCTGTAAAGAGATGTTTGCGTTGTGATTCCCATATATCAAATTAAGCATCTACTCAATGCTTTCATCGATTATAAATCAGCTAAACTGGTATGGTTAATTAAACCACAGAGCTTAATCAATTTTAAAATGCATAACCTTTTCAACACTTAATCATTCTAAAATATTTATATCATCATTTCTGATTCAAGGGAGAACTAAAGATATGACCAGAAATATACCTGTCAGCTAATAAACATGTATTGTGTGTACGTCATTTGTTTGTTTGTTATTAAACGTCCCTCTCGAGAAATTTTCACTCATATGGAGACACCACCACTTGAAAATAATGAAGACAAGTCAAATTTGAGGTTAACATTCATTTTAGGAGTTTTCAACAATTAAGACTCCTTTCTCCCGCCCCTTCCCATTCCCAGACATTTGTTTGTTCATTTATTCAAACTAATATTTTAATTGTTTTGACATAAAAAAAATGTGAATATATACAATTATTATACCTCATTATAATTATTCTACACAACGCGTTATCTGATTGGTTCTAGATTATCACGTGTTCGGGCCATAAAACTTCATATTTCACGGTCGTCGGCATGCTTTTCATCAAATTCCCCCTCTTCGGATACCTAGTGCATTTTCCCGCAAGAGTTATCGTTCGTTGAAAGAAAACCCCAGAGTGTAGTAGACGTCTCAATACCCTGGTTTACGTCACAAAATTGATGATTAGTGATGTATCAAAGGGTTTCAATAACTTTACGTTAAAAATGAAAGTGAATTTGAGAGCGGTGACGAATTTATGTTTATTTCAAAGTTTTTGATTGTTTCGGTATAATAATCAGATCATTGCATGAATGTTCGGGAAACATGAAGATTTATTTAGCCAAGAAATATCACATTCCCCCCGGGCGTAGCCCTCGGGGAATATGATATTTCTTGGCTGAATAAATCTATTTCCCTCACTATTATGCAATAAATGCATAATAGTTTAATTGTGCATCTCTTTGAATGATTTTGATTCCTAATTCTAGGAGGGTGGATTGACCCAAATTCATGAATAAAATGTCAGGCAATCCTATCATTGATGCACTTTTATTTAATTTGATGCAGTCATATTGTCACATTTCCAGTCCATTAGGAGAATGGGGATGACCTCCAGGAGTTCATAACCATTATACCATTAAATGTACATAACATAAAAACACAAGAAACAAAATTATGTATAGTCAAATGGGAAAGATTTCTACTATTTTTGAGTCACATGATCATTTGTCATTTCAGGGACATGGTGTGACTAGGGAGATCGGACCCCCTCCCCCTCCCTGGAATTTGCAGAGTTAATTAAATAGGTATATATACTGAAGCAAATAAAAATACTTTGGACCCCCCCTCCCCCACCCCCCTTAAAAGAACATGAACCCCACCATCATTGTTTTTGTTTTGTTTGTTTGTTTTTTGTTTTGTTTGTTTGTTGGTTTTTTTTTTTTTTCGTTTTGTTTTGTTTTGTTTTTGTTTTTGTTTTTTTTTTGTTTTGTTTTTGTTTTAATTTTCCTTCTCAGGGAATTCTGGGTTAGAATTTTTTTGACTAAGGTGCGGGACCCCCCCCCACCCACCCCACCCCTCCCACCCTGCTGAAAAAAAAAAATCCTGGATCTGCACCTGTAACTTACAAAGGACTAAAAACTGAATATAACGTCGCCAACGGGAGATAACTCTTCAGAATGTAAAATTCGTGTATTGTGGCATCCGATGATCTTTTTTAATTTTTAACCTAACCATTTTGCATTTCAGTTTATTTTACCCAAATCTGTACTTAAACTTGTACTTACCGACTGTCATATATCCTGTCAACTTCTTGAAATATAACCCAATTAAAACACAAAATGTACTAAAATGATATCATTATTTTTGTTGTTGAGAAAATAAATTTTAAAAGTTTCAATTATTGGCCAAAAACTTATAACCCCTCTTTTATCAAAACCTAATTTACATCATTAATTGAATTCTGTACTGGTAATGAATTAAAGATATGAAACACTTAAGAGGCTCATGGTCACCTGAACTATTTATGCTCAATTTGACGAATACATGTACTGTGTACATCATAACATTATTTTGACTTTATCCTTGGTAAGTCCAATATGAAGGAGTGTGCATTTATATGCAAACATCTTAGTGCGGGTATTACTGTCTCATGAGAGCATCTAGTTTATTTAGCCGATACAGTCTAATTGAAACTGGAAATAAACAAAAATTGTTTTCTTTTTCGTTTCACTTCTAAACCCTTCAAAATTATACGACTGTTCGGCGTAAGACCTAAGCTTAAAGGAGAGTCTTGTAAAGAAATGGTGAATGTGCATTTAAAGATGGAGGAATTTGTAACCAAATTCACAAACACAGACACACACACACTCTCTCTCTCTCTCTTATGTATTTGGACTTCCATCTGGGGACCCTGTCATAACATCTTAAAATGGGGACTAAGGGATTTCATGGTAAAGTTGGCATTGTTTAACTCGTTTTACTCCGTAGGTTTCCTGGTTTTATTCGATAGAGTGAATCTTTGAGAATGAATGATGTTTCCATGCATTTAGAAAACGGGGACCCGGAAGTGCCAATCTTGGGACTCTGTGTAAAATTAGGGGACCCATCTCCTCATAACCAAACAAAACCGGGGACCTAAACTCGGTCCCTCATACACACACACAGAGAAATGGGGACTTGTATTTATAAATTAAATTTTGGATCTTGCTTAAAATAGGATGTTGCAGAAACTCGCGATTATTCGCAAAATCGTAGATACCCACGATGCATGAAGAGTAATCTCTGTATACATGTATAGACAAAGCTATGTAGATGACTTTATACGGCGGGCATGGCCAACTTATCATTACAGAATATTTCACATTTTACTTTTTTCATGCATAGTTTTTTCCTTACATAGAGACTGACTGGCGCCCTCAAATTGCACGAGAATGTAAGCACAATGACCAGTGCAACCTACGCCAAAATGTGTGATCTCCCATTCTGGTCGGGTAGGAGAGAGCTTTGGGCGGACACCGGAACGTGGCTTGAAAAGATGCTCGCACAGCATTTTGAAAGAGGTTCTGAAGACTGCATGCGTTTTGTAAAAGAATGTGTCCCATAATCACACTGTTGATGCAAAATCCAAGAAAATCCACTGAGTCATTTCAATTAGTTGTTTCAATTCAAATATGAGCCACTAAATAACAGAACTTAAATAAAAAGAAATGAGTAAAAAAAATAATAAATTCTCTCCCTCTCTGTCAAGACATATTACATTGTACTTCCATTTAATGGGGAAAAAATAGCCAACCGACATGTTTTTCCTTCCCATAAATAAATTTCAAAAGAAACTATATGCCTGCGTGATATAATGAGGTCACATACTATTGACTGTGTTTCTGCAGTTTGGGTATAAAAAGATATGTCGTTGAACGGAAGAAAGGGAATGAGTGGCATTGTGGGCCAGGGTAAATTAAGTAAAGTCGTTTTCCCAGGACTATTTCCGAAAACACAAATAAAAGCCCAAGGTATCGAAGAATGTGGTTTCCGAATTTATTAACAAGTCCTATCGATGGTTATGATTTACATGAAACAACGATAAACAGTAACCAGTCGGATGTGGCCATTGCCTCCAAACTGTTCATTAGAAATGGAGTCGAGCATGAAAGGGAACGAGTCGGACGACTCCGAACTGTAAAATGTGAAACGGTACTACCTGTGTAAGATTAAAAATGACAGGTGTTTTTGCAAAAGTTAATTTAAAAAAAAAGCACCGTCTTCTGGTATTATCACTCTGCCCCTTTGTTGTCTGACCAGTGCATGCCACTTGGGAATTAAATGAGGAATAAATGATTTAACATGAGAAAGATTTGTAAAATGCAACGCTCAATACAGAATAATTTCAGAATATTGAATTTCTATTTATCACAAAAAATAATTAATAAATAAACATGACATTTAAAGCCTAAAATGAATTCAAATGACTTAAACAATGCTCTGAGTGCAAACAAACGAAATTTATATTGGTTTTAATTTTGCTGATTTAATTAAATACAGACGGCAAAGGGCATTCAAATCCTCCCTCGTTTGGCACGGATTAATTGTTTAGTCTGTACCTACAG